CAAGTCGGTGCCACAGGTATCGGAGGTTGGCAAAAGCTGCCCTGGCCTTTCCGATTCGAGAAAAAATCTCATCTCCAGCCAGTCTACCGGGACTTATACAGCTGCCCAGGTAAAACGAATTTATCTAGCACGTCGATTGGCTCACCTGCAAGCATGAGGTGTGGGTTTGATCCCACAGTCCTGTAGTAGCACTTTATACTTTGCGGGTGTGAGGCGCATGTCAAACCGTGCAGCAGAATTATTTAGTTTATTTAAAATCGTTTGCGTTTGGGAAGGATCTGAACCAGAGAGCAATATCGTCCTCATACTCAATGTCTGTGAGAGAACACCCCGGAAGCATTTCGACTCCCGAGGTTTCAGAGGCAGACAGAGAAGTTTGAGGCAGCATATCAATAGCAAAGTTGAAGAGGAAAGAGGACAGCCGTCTCACACCAGTGAACATGGTGAACTCAGACGAAAGCGTCTCGTATACTCATACGAGCCCACGGAAGTTAGCATACAGTACCCTCATAGGAAAAAGACATTTGGAAGGGACAGTTTTGATCGCCAGAAACTGCAAAAGTTGCTGACGATCGATAGAATTAAAATCAGCTTTCAGAACCCAGAAAAACGACCAACGTGGGATGCCTGAGGGAGTGGCACTGTTCAAGAATTTGTCTCGGTAAAAATATGGCCGGTGCATCCTCGACCAGAGCGAAACCCAACATGATTCTCACGAATCTGTCTCCCAATAATCCATCAATCTGCACAAAATAATGCCAGAGAGCACCTTAGATGCGACGGATACCAGGCTGATGCCACGATGGTTTTCGCATGACGTTCTTCCTCTTTTTGAAAAATGGGATGATGGTCGAGGAGCTCCATTCGGCTGGTATTCTGTTTTCGTTCCAAATCTTCTGCAGTATGGTTGTCAGACCGTTTACCAGGACCTCTTTGAAGGGAGCGCGGTGTAGACCATCCGGGCCAGGTACCTTGTTGCGCTTCAGGATTGAAATCTCATACTGGATTTCGGGTACTGATGGTGGGTTGGTGACAATGTTCCATTCGGGCCTGTTTGGTTCTTCCAGCGGTTGTGTTGAAAGAGACCAGGTGAACTGCTCTTGGAATTGCTTAGCCCACCGTTCAAGACGGCGGTTGAGGGAGTGAATTGCTGTTCCGTCTTTTTCGCATATTGTCTCACAGACACCTGTCTCTTTTGACCCGTTGATCAGATCGGTTGAAACAGGGCGCGGCTGTTGCCTGCAGCGAAAGCCTTCTCAATCTCTTGGTCCTTCGAAATCCACCAGCATTCTCCGTCACTCTTCAAGCTCCTGATTATCCAGTGTTTGAGGGATGTGCGTGGCCATCATAGTCGCTAGTTGCTGGTATGGCCTTTCTGAAAGCAATGAGATCGGCTGATCTCGAAGATATCCAGTGTTTATTGGGTCGAGTCAGATGAGCTGGACAAACAGTTCTGAAAGCTGAAAGCATTGCTTTTTTAGCTCGCTTCCATTCATCCTCCAGGCGATCTTCGTCGTCCACATGACTGCGCGTTTCCAGCAGCTTCCTAGCCAGATCAGCTCGATAGTCTTTAACTACTGAAACTTGTCGAAGTTGATGAACGGACCTGCTCTCTTTCGGCGAGCGTAGTGCTTAGCGGGCCCGCACGATGGCATGATCAGAGTCAAGTCGCGTACACCAGAAGGAACGACAATCCATAACTGAGGCTCTCCATCGGTAACTGATAGTCATATGGTCTAATTGAGCCCACGACTGTCTTGTGGTAGGTGCCCTGGCCAGTAACAGTCGATGATCTGTAAACAACTGGACAAAGCCGCTCTCCGTTATCCGTACGTTCAGCATAGACTTCAGATCGACCACATAACTGTGCTTCTTCCGGACCAACTTGGGCATTCATATCACCCGCCAGGATTACTCCATCCGTCCTTCTTGCCGACCGAAGCAGCCTTAGCAAACTCGTCCTTCTCAGTATCAGAACTGCTGTCTGTTGGGACGTATGCTCATCATCACCACTGTCAGCTGTAATAACCGCGTACTCGTCGTACTGTGGTTGTAGCTGCCGCAGTTTCGTT